CACACACACACACACACACACACACACACACACACACACACACACACGCTCCTCTCTCTATTCTCTCTTTATGTCTTGCTCAACTTCTACCTTTCTTTTTGGACAACACATGGCCTGCTTAGACGGGGCCAGTGAATGGCACACATGCCTCAGTCTTTGTTGCTACAACAGGCAGCGGTTTGCATTGGCGGCCCTCCTATCTCTTAGCATATTAATAGAGTGGCGGGCCTGCGAGAGGGAAGGCAGAAGAGTGTGACTCCATTGTCCAGAGTCATCACCTCATTTCACCCAATTGAGAGACACGGGGGACAGGGGGTCGACGGGGGGGGGGGGGGGGGAAGATGAAGGAGGAGGAGGGATGGACGGAATGGCGACAACGCAACAAGGAGAAAAGAAGGGAAGTTGGTGGGCTCGGTGGGAGAGGATGGGGGGGGGGGAAGACGACTCCGATGCACATCACTCTTAAGTCTGTGTCCAGACTCTTGTGAGGTTTTGGAAGAAGAAAAGAGTCGCCCTCCAGCGACCCTCACCTCCTGCCTCCCATCTACCCCCCCACAAGTATTCCTCTGTTCCTTGGCCACCTATGGGCTAGAGGAGTGGGCAGTGGGGGCATAGAAACAGCCTGCACATTAACATATTGCCATATTCAATTGCAAAGCAAACTGTGTGCGATGGCCATGAAGGAGATTTTTCTTCCTTCTTTTTTTTTTTTTTTTTTTTAAATCTGGAATCAAAGAGGTAGGCCCTTTGATAGCTGTAAAGGCAGCCCCTCACTGCCTTTTTAACATGCACAGCCAGGCGCTTTCTCATCTTGTGGGCTCAGTGTTGACAAATAAATGAACTTATTATACACCCCTGTGTTAGCCGCTGGGCCTCTGCCAAGGGGCGATTTATTAAAGGCTACCTCGAGCCAAGGGGAAAGAACACACAAAGCCCCTCAGCATTACATCACTGCTGTAAGAGCACAACTTTCTATAGAGGGGTAAGGAGACAAAGGCATACACGGATTTACTGTACGTGTGTAGTGAGAGCGGACTGACAGGCGAGGAGGCAGACACCTAAGAGACACAGACAAGAAACAATGCACTGATGCCTGCATGCTTTAAGATGCAGATGCAGACACACACACACACACATACACACACACACACACACAGCACAAACGTTGGTTTGTGGGAGAGCTGAGTGGCGGACAGTGGGCAGCAAGCTGATTTTTCGCACTCAAGACAAGACAGGTCTGTAGCAGAACAAGGACGCGCGCGTGCAGCCGATGCAGGCTGACACTCCGGCCTGGTGGCTGCTGCATGTGGGGGGAAGAATGGCCGTATTTTAGGAGGCCCTCATTGATATTCATGTTGAGGATAAACAGTGTATGTAGCTGAGTGGGGACGCCTGCGATGGAAAGCTCCCTGTGAGCAGCGGCTGGCTGGCCTGGCCTGCACGCCTCTCACCCCCTCAATGGCCCTTTCTCCTCCATGTGCCCCCTCATCTCCATTCCTCCATGTTCCTACCCCCCCTGAAACTTCATCCTCGGGCTTCTGGTCACACAGTCTGCTGCCCTACATGGCCCACTCCTCTTGGGTGGCTGCAATGCACAGTATGCACATTAAACTTGTAAATTAATTAAAGTTGGAAAGTTGAACACCAGCCAAAAGAAGAAAGAAAAAAAAACCCTCTCCTTCTCACCCTCTCCTCCGCTATAAATCAGGGTCTTGTATTCTATACATGTAGCGCTCATTGACCTTGTTTATTATAGGAGTAGCATTACGAGGACCCTGAGCCTGTTGACTGATTAAGGCCAAAAACAAACATCATTTTGGGATTGGCATGACGGTGTCTTTCACCGCTAATGCAACACAGCCTGGTATTCAAAGCTTCTCGGACGGTACAACTATAGTGGAGCTCTTGGAGATGCACAAAAACAGCAACAACTTCACAACTGGGCTTGAGGAGTTCTTCCACCTGTAACTAGGGGAGAAATCTCTGATCAAGAAACAACACAAATCAATTCAACGAGCTGTCATATTCCAGTCGCTCTTCTTCCAGACTGTCACTCAGAAGTCAAACAAAAAACAAAAGTTGGGAGAGTCTGAGTCAAACTGTGATTTTCACTCATTTCCTCCTTGATTGTTTTACCCCGTGACAGCTTTCGTCAGCCTTCGTCAGCCTTACACCATCATCTCCACTGTCACAGCTGCAGCCTTGAGGCATTGGTAGCGTCAGCGATGAGGAGCATACCGATAACATCAAAAGGTGGAAATATTCAAAATCTCTCTCTCTCTCTCTCTCTCTCTCTCTCTCTCTCTCTCTCTCTCTCTCTCTCTCTCTCTCTGTGAAAATGTGTTTCTATCTGATAAAATTTGGAAAAAAACAAAAAAAAAAAAAAAAAAGTTGGAAGAGAAAGCAGAGAAAGACTCTGATGTCATGACATAAATGTTCAGGTCAAACTAGCTGCCACTAACATTTACTTTACTTCAGATCACAAATATTAGTCTTTGTGGTTACCGTGACCTCCAAGGAAAACATGTAAGCTCAAAAACATTTTGATTTCTAAACGTTATTGGTGGGATGATTGCAGCCTCCGAAGCAAAAATATCTTTCTTTGTGTTTCTGGTGTGACTCAGCTTGCCACAGTATTTACAATGTGGTGCTGATTACACCAGTGGGGGGGGGGGGGGGGGGGGGGTCAGGACATGCCACTCCATGATTCACTCTGTGGGTCACATTTTTGGGAGCATACTGTCCGGAAGCTTCTTCCTGCTCCATGGGATGACGATGCGACCGGACCGGACACAATTCCTCACATCAGCGGAGCGTGCAGAGAGATGTTAATTTGTTGGAGGACGTGGCTAATTTGTTAGGGTTCTGAGTCATCAAACATGAAGGAGGCTGTGTATAAACAAACACCAGTAAAGACCATTTCATTGACCACATCTGAGATGAATCATTCCCCTCTAGAATGCGGAGCTGAGTCCGAGAGGGGATTCTAGCGTGTGACAGCCACTTGGAGAGGCAGCTACAGGAAGCATGCAGCCTCTGGACACGTGAGTCCTAACAGCTAAAATGAAAAGAGGACTTATGAATCATCTTAGAGTATTCGACTCGTCACTGTTGCATAAAATTGTTCACGTTTACCTCTTCCTGTTCAGACAAGAAGCCTCCAGAGTTTGAAGATGTGTGTAAAGTGCAGGGTTTATATACTCTGTACACTCCATTCGTTGACATTTGCAGTTTCTTTGCCAGTGAATTATTATCATTATTTGTCTCAGGGAACCTAACCAGTTAATAATCATAAAGTTACTTCATACAGTCCAAAGACACTTCCGCAAAAAAACAACAACAACCAAGAAGTAACCCAACTTGTAGCAAAATCGTCATTGTGTCCTCCAGGACAATCGACTCTCTCTTGGACAGCAGTGTTGGCCCTGATCCAGAATTTTCTTTTGATCAACTTCTATAACTATTGTCACCATTCCATGCATTGCATTACAGAGAGGGCTATTGGAGTCGGGCATGAAAAAAAAAAATAGACCATAATCCCTGCCAATATGGCAAGAAGACGGGAGCTCAATAACCGCAGCAGACAGGTTGGGGTGCATCTGTCTGCCCCATGCACCCCGTCCATTCTCCCACTTTACCTCAATTGAATAAGAATAGAAGAGGAAGCTCGGAGTGCTTGGTGTCTGTGTGTAGGAATGGAGGTTCGTAATCTCCCTTAATGAGCTTGTTTCTGGGCTATTATCCGGCGGCCTGCCTGAGGGAAACGCTGGTGTTTCCTATCAAGTGGCCCCGCAGCGCTGACCCTCGCATGGCTCTGCATATGAAATGTAAGGACCGAGCCTTTTGTCTCCTTTCTCCCAGCCTCTAGCTGAGCTCCTGAGCCATTTGCATAGTCCTGAATGGACCAGCCAATGTTATTAATTAATACAGAGCCAGCCTGCGCCACCTGACAAAATCCCACCGAGTGGCCCGAACGGAACTGTTTCATCAAAAGAGAGGAGCCATTAGGAATGAGAGGCCTTATTCTCCACTTCTCCTCTTCCCTCTCTTGTTCCCTTGAAAACAGAGAGCCGCGGTTTTATGCATGTTTTCTTTTTCAGTAGAGGGGCAGCAGTGGTGGGAGTAGTGGTGGGTGGTGGGTTGATTGAGACTGTATGAAATAGGAAGGCCACAGGTGACCCGTTGTCAACCGTCTTGCAAATGTAAATCCTCCTGAGAGATCTCCTCCTTCTGCCGCGTCTTCACCTTGTCAGCTACGCTCAGAAGATGTCTCCAAGGAGGATTCTCACCCGATAACTCAAAGAGTTACAGCTGGGAACGTTTCACAAATGGGGTTTTGAATTCCTAGAGATCTTCAGATCCACCAAAAATTGACTCACTTTGCGCTCTCTCTTTCTCTGTCTTGCCCTTACTCTGTGCTGGCCTGGATACAGGTCTGAGGAGAGCATGCACAGATAAATGGCCTGCTGCTAATCTGGAGCTATCTCCAGAAAGTCTCTCTCCTAAAACACAATGTCAGGAGGACGACTCCACGAGGCTCGTGAAATTTATTTCCACTGCCTCATTGAAGCAATTAAGGACAAAGTGCATGCTGAGTCTTTCACAATGTTGCTTTGGGAATAGGTCCGATCACCGACGCGCTGTCATTCCAGTCATTAATCCACTGGCACAAAAAAGGGGTGAGAGAAATGTGGGGTGAGACCGGGAGAGGAAGAGGTAGTATAGGAAAGAGTGAAGGAAAGGGAGACGCGAGAGGAAACAGGCTTTTCTTCTTCAAAACGTTTGTTGCAAACTCTTTCTTACCCTATCATGATCCAATACACATCAGTGCCAGTGACTCCATCATTTTATATCGCAAATACCCGCCACCTCCCTTGTATATTCATCGAACTAGACACACACTCCTCTGAATGATGTCAGCACAAGGAGCAGTTTCCCATGAGGGGGTGTAGTTAGCATTCCTGTATGAGGCCTGCAGAAAAGGAAGCTGCTGCTGCTGGTGGTGGGGGTCACCCAGAAAGTGAATAACAAAGGAGAGCCAAACAGCCTTATTGCGAGTGTATTTTGCAATTTTCCACATTAATGTAAGACATAAATCCCTGTCTAAGACAAGTAAACGTGCCAGTTTCCTATCTCTAGTCATGCCTTGTTTGCAGCGTTGAACGTTGCATTAGATGGTGACGCAAACAGGAGAAACCTGCCCTATAGTGAATCTCAACATGGGAAAGCTATCATGTCCTCCAGCTGTAGGGCGGGGAGCCGTGAGAAGTTAGGGGGGGAGAGAAACAGGGAAGGAAGGTGGCAGGGGAAAGAGATATGAAAACATGACATGCCTTAGAATTGGCTATGCGAAAACAATACACTCCTCTGGCTTTCCCTAACTCCCCTGTTCCCTCCTGCATCTTCTCCGTCTCTTCAGATCATGTTAAAGGCTCCCTGTCCCTCCCACGACTCGCTGGATGTTTGATCTCGAGAGAACAATTCACCTCAAGAGCAGAAAGACAATGGCCTGCCTGCCTGTCCATTCCTCTTCTCGACCCTGTGCGACATGGGAATGCCCCCTCAACCGGGCTTAATCTGCTTTGAAGTGTTACTGGATGCTCTGGAAGCCACTGATACGCTTCTAAAACATGACCACATACACAGCCTGGGAGAAGACAAATGATGGACGTCAGACCTAAGAGTCTAACGCTGAAATGTCTTCCATGACACATGCTTTTCTTAAGGCAGAATATTTTCCCATCGGAGGTAATGCATCTCACTTAAGTCACGGCGGGCCGGGACTGGCCCGCGGCACACCTCTGAACAGAGCTGTTGCCGCATGTTATCGTGAGAAGAAGGCTTTGATACGACAACACGAGAAAGTATGTTGATGCGAGTCATTACTGCTTGGTTTGTCTTGGCAGCTTATCCACGATCAGTGGCACTTGCAACACCAAAAAAGAAATAAGAAAAAGATGTGCTATCGAGATGATGTCGCACTCCGCATGGTCATCTTTTGGATCGTTTTTTTTTGCTATGAAACAGCACAATTGGTTTGGACAAACAGCTGTTAATAACACAGGACACTGAACGTGTGAGCTCCTGTTGTGTCCTACCTGTGGCACAGAGGGCGATGAAGGTTTGGACATGTTTGCGTATAAGTGCCAGCTTATCCTCAGGCAGTGGCAGCCTCCTCACAATGTGCTCAATGAAGTCGTTCGGTGTCACTGCTGCCAAGTTCCACTTCAATTTCCCCAACACCACCAGTTCCCATTCCTGGAGAAAGAGCGAGCGAGATGGAGACACAGAGAGACAGAGAGACAGAGAGAGAGAGCGAGAGAGAGAGAGAGAGAGAGAGAGAGACGGAGGGAATAGAGAGCAAGGAGGGATAACCGAAAATGAGAAAGATTAAGTGACACAGTGTACAACAACATATTGAATATACTGTAACAGTTTATACTGCACTTTACTGCAGTCACAGCCGCTACACTGCTGCCTAAAGTGAGCGGCTGTGCCTCTGAAGGCCCCTTACATTAGTATGTGTGGAGGTTAAGCATTATTGTTATTACGTTAGTCTGTGCTGGGACAGAGAAACACCAGCAGCGCCACCAACTCAGGTGACCTCACAACACTGTCTCCCTCCCCGTCTGTCTGTCTGTCTGGCATCTGGGGACTTTCCTAAAGAGGCCCACCAGAGGTTCTACTGTGTGTGTGTGTGCGTATACGTGTGTGTGATTGCAGAGTAAAAATGGATAGGAAGGCTGTACTTGTTAAGCAGCACCAGCAATAAATCTGTGTTATGTTATAAAGTTAACCAGTGTTTCATTATTTAATCTTATGCCATTCCATTCATCATTTAAACTATAAAAACATACATTGTATCCACAGGAAATGCAATTATTTTTCACTATTGCATTTTTCTGCCAATTCTGTTGGAGCCCTTTGGTACTTATTAATAAATTCACCCTTTCAGCATACACTATTCTTCATATAAACAATGCTAAGTGCCACGTATCGTTAAAGACTTCACAGGAAACAAAAACCTTGGGCAGCATTTGAAGTGAACAGCATTGAATCACATGTTACTCAACACCTTTTCTGTGTCATCAGACTCAAGAGAATCAACTTCTCTGTACTTCACAAGTTCTTTTTAACTTAGCTCTCTTGGCAAAATGTGGAGGGACAATAGGCGTGGTGTTCTCTTCTCTCAGGGTGAATCGCTACTTTCACTTCCTTGAGGAGGTGATTAACGGAAGAGGTGGTGACTAATTTGGGAAAAAATTTCGTGGTTTGGTTCTGGACTGCAGCCTTGTGACCGGGGACTTCGATTGCTCTTCATTTTCCCTTTCAGTGAGAGAGACAGAGAGAGAGCACATGGACTCAGTCATGAGACAACTCAACATGGCTGGCCACTGACCCTGCATGCTACCAGCTGCAACTTTCTAATCAAAGTGACATTTTTCAGCCGTGTCATGTTTCCTGAGCTCCGTGATGCCATGGACATGGATAGAGGGGAGGAAAGGGGTTTTAAAAAACATCAACAACAACAGAGATTTTGTTTATACCCACAGTTTCTCATGTGGGAGGAAGTGAGCATTTAAAAGCACCAAGGACTTAAAGGTTAAAGGTATCTTCCTCTGCTTGCTTGGAGGTGTGTAACCACTATTTCAAAGATTCACTTATTTGATCATATGCAAATCATAGCCCAACAGTGGTCTGTTGATTGCTTGGGCTCTAATGTTTGCAACATGGCTGCCTCCATGCTCTCAAAAGCCTTTTTCCCCATCAGTGCCAGCAAGCGAGGGCTATATGACGAACCTTGCAACACAGGCTCTATACTGACAGGAGTGGCAGGCATGCAGGCACCCACTTCCTTCTGCTACTGCCTTCCTCTGGTCACACCATCTTTGTAACATTGCGGTTCTCTTTACAAGAAATTGTTACCAAAGACAAGGACATAAAAAAAGAAAAAACGATCACATGCCATGAGCAGCTGATCTCTGTTTCCTGTATCTGCGTGTCAGCCAAAATACTGCCTTATACAGAAACACTGAGAAGAGGCCCCAGCAAACCAGTTCAGGGACGGAGGGCTTGGTCTTCACACTGAACATGAAGGTAGGATGTTTTCCTGTAAAGTGCAGCACGACATACTATTTTACATATAAGTCCACCCCGTCTATCGGCGCAGCACTTTAATACACATTTGGTTTACTTGTCCGTCCCCCCCCTACAACTACAGTACGTAAAATAAGTCGGACACAATATTCCCAGGCAGACATACATTCCGCAAAATTATTAGAAACCGACAAAACCAACAGCAGCTCATCAGGAACTTGAGTATACTGCAGCAATCGGCTCGGCGTGAAGAGTCGCCAGCCAGGCAGCGAGGCAGGCCTACAACCACCAGCCACGTCTGGATCATAATATGCGACCTCTTTCACAACATGGGTGGGATTGGCTGTTGTTTACCGAGGAATGTTTATGTAGCACCACAGAGCGGTGGGGAAACACTTATCTGATGTGAAGCTGAGTCAATTAATTGGTGAGGGCAGTTCATGGTACCATCAGGCCAAAGACGCCTCATGAAATATATCACGCAGAGGAATGGCACACCTGCATCACCACTTAAATGCATCACTGTGAGTGTGAGAGTCGAAAATAGTGTAGCATGACATAACGTCAGAAATGCTTGCATCAACGGTTATTTTTGGATGCAAGCTGAACTGTAAAAGGCAAACTTGTATTTCTCTGTGTCTCTCCCTCTCTGGCTGACAGGAACAGAGTCAGAACTTTGGCTGAAGTTCAAGCTGACCTCGTTGCTCTGTGCAAATATCTGCCACTAGATGGCGATGGAGACCACTGCACGGACACCATGGATACTGTAAAGCCCAGAGGGTCTCATACAGTGAAGAGAGTCATTGTGGAACAACTCACTGTGAGGCTTTCGCTTTTCGTGCACCTTCTGATGATGGCGCTGAACAACAGAATCAGTGAAATGAGAACACCCTGCAGTTTAGTATGTGATGTTTTAAGTGAAATTAATAAAACCAATACATTTTGAGTGAATGAATGCCTTATAACACATTAATAACCCCCCTTTTCAAAAACAAACTCAGAAAACATATATCATCAAATCTGGCTCAGCTGATGATGATGACAGGTGAGGTGCAACAGTGAATTTTGTGAAAAGTGTTGAACCAACTGTTGCTTACCAGCAGCTCTTGTGGTCTGATGGAGTTATCTGTGTAGATGCAAAGCTTCTCTGCGGTTAATGGACGAGTCTCTTTCAATTTGGATGCAAGAAACATGCACACTGCTCCCAGCAGCTGCAGGTTGCACTTTTTGGTGGGTACCACTGCTAAAAATCTGTCTAAGTAGTTCATGGCCAAGGGAAAAACTTCTTCCTCGCACTTCTCCTCCTCACAAACCTGAAGAACGAGACAGCAGACAATGCAGCAATGTTGAGCGTTTGGAATCAGTAACCCGCCCTGCATGAGACCAGACTTCATTTTCCAGCACTTTAAAATGTATATAAAACTTTTATGAGAAAACGAAACAAAAGTCTAATCACATAAAGAGCACATATAAATTCAATGACACACATAGTTGGGGCCGGGCCAAGAATTTGCGCCCAGCCCTAATCGGTTGCGACATCATAAATTAATTCGGAATAGATTATTTTACAAAAAAAGGCAAATAAGTCTCAGACACATACTGTCAATAGAGTCGCATTCCTGTAGTTCACTAAGAAATGAATTCAAGTCACAATCAGTTGAGGCAAAAAAAAAAAAACACCCCGACAGCGCAGCACACGGAAACCCACTTTCTTTTTTTCATTCGTCATATTTTCATAAAATAATTAAAAATATAGATAAATTGTCCAGACCGATTTACTTCACATCATAATGTTCAGACGGGTCTTCTGTATCATACCCGACAATATATTTCGAAATCCATGCGCGATAAATTCGAATAAAACGACAAAATAAAAGACAAGGAGCAAGAGGTTGGTCTGATGTGCGTCACCGGCGACCCGATATATATATTTCAAAAATTAATTAAAAATCTCCAGTGCGTCGGATCCTGACAATATTTACATGAAAATAAAGCCCAAAGGCTCAAGATTGTTTATAGATGGATGTTGGCCAAATATATTAGACATAGTGTCAAAAACCGAACATAATTCCAGAGTGAGGCAATGCGTCGGGGGGAAGACCCAAAGGACAGATAAGGCCCTCGCCCCTTCCGACATTTCGAATAGATGCAAAAAATGTTTACAACGCTTTTTGAGACCACTTCTATACTCAGTGCACACAAAAGACCATCCTCTGTCATTGCCGACGGGTTTGAGTCGCTGTTATTGCGTTTATGACACTGTAAAGTCCTCTTAAAAGCACGAGCGCTCCTGTAAAAAACCAACATGGCGATAGAACACAACAGGGCAGCACTGCATTGGGGAGTGCATACGTGTGCATGGAAATAATCCGGCTATCTAAAATAATAACATTAAAGAATCAACGGGCAGCTCGTACAGACAACACGCGAGGCACATCAAAGAAATCCTCTGGTGTCACAGAAAGCACAGCTCGAAGTTTCACGAGCAACGTCTTCGCGACCGTACTTTAAAAAAAACGGTAATAAAATAATGACAGAAAGCGACACATTTGGTTAATACGAGGAATAAGCAGTCGGGAACGAGAGATATAAGTCGTATCTACTGTCCGACAATTGCAAACAGCAGTAACAAAACAAATCAAGAGGCTTTAAAGTCGAGCACGGAAATAAGACTTGTCAACACTCGGTGTTTCGGTATACCTCCAACATCCAAGTAGCGACCATCCTCCTCATAAACGGCTGAATATCTTTCTGGACGCCTTTGAAATAGGAATATTGGGGTAGAAATCTCTCCTCGAGGGTCAACAAGCTCTGCAGGACTCTGTCATCGCACAGGAGGTTCGGATCGGGACGAGCTCGGATGGTGTCCATTTCGAGGCAGAGCAGCTCCATGGTGCTGGTGCTTTCACTTAAGTCGGAAAAAAAAAAGTAGTATTTCTCTCACGGAAGCGTATAAGCAGCGTTGCAGAGCAAAAATGCAAAAGGATAGCAGGGAACGTCTTTTAGAGGCATAAAAAAATGAGACTGCAGGAGCTCCGTAAGAGTAGTCCTGCCTCTCCTTGTTGAGAACTTTTTCCTCTCTCCCCACAGTGCGCCTCTACTTTCATCCGCCTGGCCAGATCAGGCGCATTTCAAGCCTACGCTGCATGCGCCACTGACGCAATTCACTTCATTACCTCTGCATAGACCAGAAGCAACATGCTGCACACTCCTGTCCCTCTTTATTCTTCTCTGGCAGGCACGACATCTTTCAGCTAACGTGTTTCATTTAAACATGAATATAAAAGTTGACATTTTCCCAAAAGTAGATCCCCAACACTATACAGTGAAGGGTGCAGAATAAATACTTCTACTAAACTCGACTTTATCCAGATTTCTTCACATTTACCGACTGTTTTAGGCTAAACTAATTCTATAAATGCTGTGGATACATTAAAGTGTGACTGATGGGTTTCATTAGAACATGGTGCGTTCTGGTAAAATACATGCTTCTCTGCGTTTAAATGGATGCATCTCTTTATGTTGGTGCTTGATTTTCTTGTGATAACTACAGAATGGAGAGAATAACGGCGGTGTCACTTAACATGATACACGAGGGAATGATATACCAAGTGTTGCATTATTATTACCCACATTTTCAGGATAAGAAAGCCTGCAAGACACCAACTTTATAGGCTACTTATTTTAAGTGCAACAAGGGACTCCATTAGCATAACAGTTTAGATTAGAAAGAAAGAAAAAACTCCCAAAAGTGACTTAGTAATGATGCTATCTTCTGAACGTGTCAGGCAGCTTTTTCAAACGGACTCAGTGAACCTCGGCGTGGAGCATGTATGTATCTATGTGGCCACAAACACAGCATGTTCATTTACAGCGGCGTGTGCTCGCGCACGGACACGCGCACAGGATAGAACCACCCACCCACTCACTCTCACAGGCACGCGCGCACACACACACACACACACACACTCTCACACACATGGTGCTATGAACTATTTAATTCATTGCAGCCACAAACTGCTTGTGGTTCATGAGATGGCTTTCTAGGAAATGTGATGCAGCGTTCTTTTTTTTTTCAGTGTTCTGTTAAAGATAACACAAAGACCTTTGTCCCCTGCATGGACCAAAGACCCTTGACTTTGCTCAACCCAAATATTATCAACCAACTTAATAATTCCTGCTATAAATCACTTTTTTTTTTCTTATTCAGACTTCCTCAATAATTTATGGAAAAACAAGCAGGTGGAATCGAAGCTGAGAGTGTAAGTCATTGAGCGGATAATTAAAAAATGACTGCCAAATGATTTAGCCTGGCATACAGTCACAAAAGGAATCTGCATGGGTAAATATGTTAATCCCCCTCCTATTCTTAGTCAACTTCAAAGAGCGAGCCTTGAATGAAACGAGACTTCAGTGCATCAGGACAAGACTGGGGACTGTAAGTCCTCAGAGCTTTAGAGTTGTTAATTTCCATCCGAAGCTTGTTGGCTATATAGCAATGCTTGTGAGAAAAGTGGGGGAAATGTCTCTTTAAAGTTTTTTTCCAGTCTAAGTTGTTTCCTCCTCCCTGTGTGTCTATTTGCATAGCCAATAGTTCCTCAGCGCTCGACCTGTGTGATTGTTACTGGGCAGACTTCTTCTTTACCCTTCTCTCTCTCTCTCTCTCGTTCGCTCTCTCTCTCTCTCTCGACTGCTGTGGTCAGCTATCAGTCTCACCCAAATAAAGGATGTCGCTGCTGCTGAAGCACGCGCAACAGTGTCTTGAGTGGTACCACAGGAAAAGAGGCTGCGACTTAGTCTTTATATTATTAGTTTTAGCGTTTTAAAATCGGCGAAAAAATAAACTTCGTTACTGGAGTGACACATCTCCTCTGCAGTGCATCCTGGGTAGTCTATGACATATCCAGAAACAAGAGTGTGCATTTTGAAACAATGAAGAATGCAATCACTTCACAAAATGACTAACAATACAAGAAAATTAATAAAAACTCGAATTACGCAGGAAAGGAAAAATCGAAGTGATTGCATCTTTAATGGCAGAGTCCTTCCGTGGAAAAAGGTATTTGTACACTGTGCAACTGATAAAATTATTTTTTCAAAATTGGCAGTTTATCCAGTTCATTCAAGCACCACAACTTGAAATCCTCCCTTGACGAGGATAGACTTTACATGATCGTGTTTCTAATTTGATGCAGAAGATGAGATAAAAAAAATAATGTGGAATTAATCGAAACTATGAGAGGTTTTTATTTCTGGTTAAACCGACTGCGTCAGAGTTCAAAGAAGCTTAACAGGGTGCTGAGGTGGAGAGGCAGGTGCTCCAAATCCTCCTCCACATCCAGCACCAGCAGCTGCCTTGCTCCAGCTCACCAAACTGCGCAATTACGCATCTCAGAGTCATCATTTCCAGCATTTCACCACAGGCTGATGTCAGGAATGGTCACGTTTGCTTTGACGCAAGCAAGCCAGTAATTTAATGTTAAAAAAGAAAATCACTGATAATATGCAGCAGGTCCATTTAACATCACCATCGGCAGCATGGCGCTGCAAAATGTCCACCTGGATCTTCTCAATCCTAAAATATTGCTTCCTTCTAAAAAGGTAAAATCATCGATGAGTTAAATGTCAGCTTAACAGTAAATTCACAGTTTGATTGTGTTTTTTCATCCAGTGAAATATTGAAATAAGGCTGATAATATAATCAAAGAACTTTTCTAAAAGAATATTAAACAACATTCATTCCCATTTATGAAGTATTCTAATAAAATAACTCATGGAGACACATGTATTAACACATTTGTCAAAAAGTTTTTTGTTTTTTTTCGGCAGCTCCTGCAGCAGAACAGTGACGCCAGCGGCTCCTCTGAGGGAGATCTCAGGCAGCATGCAGCGCATTGTGTCCCCGGAAGCATTCAATTTCCATATCAGAATAAAATCGGAACACACGCAACAGTTTAGAAACATTACACGTTATGACACAAAACATTCATCTATACACCAGGAGGGGAGCAGTCAATACAAAACTGAAGTTTGAAAAGTTAATGCACACTGCAAGAAATATCATTTGGGTCAAATCATTTTATACAGTTTGGCGTTTTGAAACGGTATTTTCTCTAATAAAAGTTTAATCGAATCAATCAGAGAGGAGGGGAGTCAAGCCCTCTTCCTGGCAGCTTTATCAAACGCTGCTATTTCCTGGAAACCCTGAAAGAATCTGCCTTCATGATTTGTTTTAGTGGCAGATGATTCCAGAAAATCTCCGAAATTATATTTTATTAATACATACAGAATTATTAACCCCTACATGTGGATTTTGTCTGCGTTATTTTGACAGAAAATAAGAGTTAAAGAAGTGAATAAAAGAGTGAGGGTCACTTTTTGCAGTGATGTCCGACCAGTGACTCATCATCACCACCGCACATGTCTCCGTTTAAATCCGTTACAGCGACCAGCGACAAGCAGACAACACCCCGGGGTGTTCTGCCGATGATGAGCGTTGCTCTGTATTATTTTTCTTTTCTCATTATTTTAACCGACATCAAAATGACGCTGAGAAAAATGTCCCACAAGACAAAATAAGTGTCGGAGGGGAATTTGGCTGGCTCCTATCAGCAGCAGAAACAGAGTTGTGAAATGACAGCAGCAGGTCTGAGTGTGTTTGTTTGGAAGCAAAACAAACAAAGTGACAAATTAAACAGCACTGCCGTTTCAAACAAGTATGAAAAGGTCTATTTTCTTTGAATTAGTCAGGCACCTTATACTCTCAGAGCAATGTGGAACAGAGGGGGCATTCATTTCACATTGCTTTTATTTCAAAAATAAATAATGCACAAATAGTGCATTTTATGTAACATATTTAGACACACTATATCTTCAACTTTAAATATTAAAAGAACAATCATCATATAGGGTGGCTTCTCATGTTTTACAATAAGGCTACATCAATGTAAAAGTGAAACTAAAATGAACAAGAATAGGCGATGAAGATAATCTCATCAAACAAAGCTTTCACCAACTGCAGCAGATAGATAATATCTCTTCAGTTATGTGTAAAGAAAATACCTCAAACACATTCTGAAAACAACACACCTGCATCAGCAGGTCAGCAACTGCCATGCAGGAAGTACAACTCTTCATGAAATTAAATTAAAAGATTACTACTATGTTATAACAATCTGACATGATTTAACTAATTACCACGTTTCTTTTAAGATTTCAAAGAAACTAAAATATGAAATAAATCTGATGTAATAAAGACACTTTGGTGGATTTATGTGAAATTCCACCAAAGTCTCCTTCAGTTTGAATTCTGCAATAATTCTTTATATATCTTTGTTGAAACTGTTTATATATGTTATCCTTATTTTTGTCATGATTCAATTTAAGGTTGAGCTTTGGAAGATTTTTGATAAAGGTATTAACAATCCAACTATAATAGATTGTTTTTGAACTGTTGGAGAACTGACTTATTTACTGAAAATAATTCAGAGATTTAATTATTTGTGAGAAAACCACAGGAATAAAATTAAACATTTCATGCTTACAATTCAAGTGTGCTCATTTTTGTATTTTCTGGACAACAAATCTGCTTAATTTCAATTTAGTTTAGATTCTATGAACATACAACATACAGTATATATTGAACTAAACACAGGGAGTAATGTTTACAAAGGCTAAAATCAGAGAAGGAAAAGAACAAATGATGCGTATTATTTGTTGGAATTTTTACTTTAAAAATATGTCTTTACATATACACAACATAGGTGTTCACAATGCAGCAGTTTAACAAGAAAACAGTCCATTCAACAACCAAGCAGCAGGTGAGATGTCCACAACAGCCCTCAAATAAACACCCAGCAGCCTCCTCTCTCTTTCTGCTTCAACTAACATTTGTTGGGGGGGATTCATCTGCCTACTGAACTCCTGAGGTCACCTCCTGCCAGGTTACAGAGGAACATGGAGACATTTCAGAGAGCAACAACCAACAACTGCAACATGCGCCAATGATTTATTTGGGCAGCTCAAGCGCTATACCATGTAATCAACATTTAAAACGAGAAAATAGTTTTCAGATGCTCTTCGTGCTTCTAAACTGATGTTGAGCAGCA